TCATTTTCAACTGCTATCATATTTATGGAGATAGTGTTTTCTGTATCACTTTCTGATTCTGATGATTCACAGTTTATTTGATTCAGTTGTAGTTCGTTATTTCCTGTGTCATCAATACCTGGAGGGTCTGATGTTGTTTCTGGGTTTGATTGTATTTGATTAATATTTCTTTGATGTTTAGGTGTACTACTTCTGTGGCGATTGTTAGAATTATTATAATGGTTATTATTCCTGTGTGGTGATTGGGAATAATTTCTATAACGATTATTATAACTTGAATGTCGATTTTGTGAATTATTTCGTGATCTGTTTTGGTAATTATTGTTTGGTCTGTTATAGTTTGATCTATTATATGAGTTATTCCTTGATCGATTGTTCGGGTAATTCTGGTTTCGGTTGTTTGAATAACTTCTATTCCGATTATTGGAGTAGTTTCTATTTCTATTGTATGATGAATTTCGTGATTGATTGTTTGGATAGTAATTATTTCTTGATTGGGAATTAGATCTAGAAACAAATCGTGTTGTATTTGAATTTGATCTGGAGTAGTTATTTCTACTATTTTGTCTATTGTATTGATTTTGTGACGAATTTTGTGTATTACTTCGTTCTGGCGATCTTCCTCTATAACTTGAGTTATGTGGTGATTGATTTCTCGTGTAGTTGGTATTGCTCGGTAGTGGTTTTCCTGAACTGTTGTTGCTGTATACATTTTTGTTTGGTAGATTTTGATCTTTCTTCATGTATTGATAGAATGATTTATTTGGTTCTTTATATTTTTGAGGTTTATTTTGATTGTCTTGCTGTTTTTGTCTTCATTCAGAAATACTATGTCCGTAACGTCGGCAATAATTACACCGTTTTTTGAAAGATGGTTTGCCTTTAAAGTTTGGGTGTTTTTCGTAAATATTGAGTATTTCAGTGATTTTTTCAACGAGGTCTGTATCTGATTCCTGTATATTGTTGATACTTGTGGTATTTTATTTTGCATTTGCGTCGGTTGATACGAGTGTGTGATCATTGGGTTTTGTTGCTGAATTGGTTGAAAATATTGTGTATTAATTGGGTTTTGTTGCTGAATTGGTTGTTGATTTTGTGTATCTATCGGTTGTGGGGAAAAAATTCTATGATTTATATGTGGTTTCTGTACTCCTTGTCCACGATATTCTTGATTATATGGTGCAAATATATCTGGTTGTAAAAAATCATCATCTGAGGATAAGTAATCCATTTGATAAGATGTTTGTTTTTTATTTTTATTTTGTTGAAAAAATGGATAGTTTTCACTACGATCCTGTGAAGGATGTAAATTTGTTTGAAAATTTACTGAATTAGTTTGTGCTATTGGGTTATCCCAGTTTCGAGATCTTGTGTAATTATTAAAATTTTTTCGTGGGGGATAATTTGTTTTTGATGGATGTGTGTAATTATAATTATGTTCTGCAAAATTGTTTCTAGTGAACGTTTTACGTGTCTTTGACGGTATTGTCATGGGTCTGTATGTCTGATAATCCATGTTTGAATATTTTGGGGCAACCGAAGGTTTAACGGTTGATTGTAAGGTTACCTGTGTTTGTGAAGGGTTTGTATTTCTTGGTGTTGTTAAATTTGGACGTATCGGTGAAATGCTTTGTTGTGTAGTTGTTGTTTGTACGATTTCTTCCTTTATGAAGTGTGATGGTGTCTGGATATCTTGCTGGGTGAGATTTCTAGTTCCATTGAGGTTTTCATTGTGTATGATTGTGGAGTTTAAACTATTATTTTGCATATCAGGTAAAAATGTATTATAGTTTAATGGTGTTGCATCAATGGTTAATGGTATTACTCTTACATAATCTCTTACATAAGATATCGTACTTATTGCTTGACTTGAGATTGATTGTGGGAAGTTTATGAATGCGGGATGAGACCATTCGGGGTCCCAAACATAGTCTGACTGTTCTGTGATGGCAGTATCATCGTTTGAGTTTTGAGGTCTAAAATTTTTTCTTGCTTGTGAAATTAAATCTAGATTATGTGTGGAATAATCTATTATAAACCATGCCAAGATTTTTTGTAAGTCATGTTTTGTATGTTGTGAAACATCATCTTTAGTGAAATTTTCTTTAATTATATTTAGAAAACTAGAGAATAGTGTGATTTCATGTCGTACTCTTATATGTTTAGATGTTTCTGTCGGTGAGACATTTGAGATTGGGATTTCGTTTTCTAATATCGAGATATAACTATATATTATTGCAAAAACTTCATTGGTGATTATGGAGTTTGCTCTTTGTGAGTTATGATATTGTATGATTTTTATATATTCTGAGAATACTTTTGAGAAATCTAAATCAAGGTCGTCTGTTTGAATTACATATTTGCTGTGATTCTGGTTTGGTGAGCTGAATTGTATGGAGTAGATTCCGTATTGTTGTGTTAAGTTGCATATATCTTTCAAATAGTGATCGATAATTTGTCTTTTGATTTTTACATCTGGGAACTCTGTTTTACATGGACTGACTCCGGGTTCAAACAAATTTAAGAGTAAATTTTTGCAAAATATGTGCTGTCCTCTATCTGTGGTTGCATCTACGATAAAGGGGAAGATATCATCATCATCTGGACTTTCTTCACCTGGGGTGTGTGTTGAGCTCATTTTTTCGTTTGATGACTGTTAATATGTAACTATCGATGTGTCTAATTGGTTGATTCTAATTGTATAAATGTACTGGTTTGTGTTTATATTGTTTTTTTATTCTTCTTTTTCCTCTTTTTGATGAATTTGAAGTTGTTTCTGAGTCGGAAAAATATAATTGATCGTGAATGGGGCAATTTTTATCTATAGATTCTTTTAATTTATAAAGTTCGTCTAAACTGCTGGTTTCTGATTCTGAAAATACGTTTCGGTTTTTGGAAAATCTTTTTCGTGTTATTTGTCTTTGTTTGGTTATTATTTTTCTTTTTAATGTTTGTCGTTTTGCTCTGATATATCCAACTGTTTGTGTATGAGGTGTGATTACAAGATCGTATTTTTTGTTATCTATTTCACAATTGTGTAAAACGATTGTTTGTTTATTTCCTAGGTTTTTAAATGACATAAGGTTTAGGATGACGGATGCAAAAGGTTGTTAAATGATTTCTATTTTCTTAGACTGTTAGTCCTTACGATTTTTTGGTTAGCCTAACCTGGGTCTATTTGTTCAGGGTTGGGGAGAAAAGTATCTCGATTCCGAAGAATGATTTTTTACTTTCTCGTGGCTAGTATAAGCTAAGGTGTTAACTTACTTAATCTTACTTAAGGGTAGTGATTGTGTTCAGGGTTGGAGAATAGTAAATCGATCCACAAGGTTCAGGTATAATTAGAACGCGAGTAGTTCGTTAGATACTATTTTAAACTTACTAAGTCTAAGATTTATCCTGGGTCTGGTAAGAGGGGGGATCAAGTGAAGGATGAATAACCGAAGTTCTTCACTGTTTATCCTAATTTGAATGATTAGTTTTATTCAAAAATTTCTGTTAGTCCTGGGTTTTTAGAAAGGGTTGGATAGTGAATCGACGTTTGAGGTCGTTAGACACTAGCTAAGTGGGTGGGGGAGAACAAAATTGTTCTTTTTGATCCAAGGATAGGCCTTGATGATCAAGTTTTAAATGTAATTAAATAGAAAATAATTTAAGATCCAAGGATGAGCCTTGATGATCTGGTTTTAAATTTAAGTGAATTTAAGTTTAAATCAATTTAAATTTGTGTAGAGAAAAGATTTAGTAATTTTATGATATTAGTGAGCTTATGAATGCTGTGATGTTTAGGTGATGAAGTTGGATCAACAGGATGATTTATGATTACTTAACCATTTATTGTCATGCTACTAATTTTTATTTTGATTTTTCAATAAATATTTTTCAAACATGTTTTGTATATTACTGCAGAATTTAGGAAAACGATCTGAGATCTTTTTATCAATCGTTATTGTATATTCATAATTTTGTTTAGCGCCTGAAATGATTTTGAAGATTGACTTCAATATTTTATGTTTGTAAATGAAAATCTAAATTCATTGCTAGTAGTATTCTAAATACAAAAGTTTGTGTTGGCTTTTGCCGAACTATCATATAACTATATGGTAAGTTTCTGCTTTGTCGTCTCTCGTCTCTGGTTCGAGGTCTTCTTGCAATTCCGGGTAGTTCTCTTATCGTTCGGAATATTGGCTTTGATCTATTGAGTCGTAGAGACATTTCGATTAAATTATCGTCGTGTAACATTTTAAAAATGTTTTGTCTAAATTCTAATCTATTTTTTGGTTAATTCTAAGCTATTAAGGTCTTGTTCGAGACTTATGGTCAAACCAGATGAGTTAGGACCGAAGTGTATAACTCATAGAGTAATTTCGGATAGGGTACACCGTCTGCTCGTCACGCTATCTTATTTTCGGCCGGATAGATTCGTGCAACTTCTTAGTCTAATACCGATCCTAATCTTACTCTTATACTATCTAGTCTCAGGTTGTTTAACTAGTCTCTGCTAGGCTCAATAGATCTAGGGTATACTGGTTTATTGCGGCAGCTGAAGTCTTCTTGGAGAGTCAACTAATTTCTAAGTTAAATTCAAATCTCTGTGGTGCTGAAATTACAAGTAATTTCAGCACTTACAAATAAGTGGGTTGTTAGTTAGATGGATCATGATTGGTTAATATTAAATACTTTACAGTGGTAAAATATCTA